CTGACTCTAAAATTAGTGGTGGGGTGGGGGGTGGGGAAGGATGATATTTTTGAAAAACACATGCTTGAGTTGAAAAAAAAATGCAACATCTCGAGCTTTCACTGCAGCTCGCAACATTTCCTGGAAAGAGAGCAATGCTGCTTTAGCTCAACACCCTCCCCTCCTTGGGCCCTGGCCCTCAATAATAAAAAGCTGACTTTTGAGATGAAGCACGGATTTGGGTTTTTATTGCCTTGGGCAGTGTCGTGATTTGGTTCTGCCTGTGATCCCGCCTGCTGTGCTGGGCTGGGCTGGGGTAAACCTGAACCCTCGCTCCTCTGGTCTCGAGGACCCAGCCAAGATGCTGGCTGTCCTCCTGCTGGGAAAAAACAACAAGAACAACAAAAAACAAAACAAAACCAGGTCCTAAGAAAGAAATTGCCCTCTGGAACCCTCTCGGCAGATCCTGTTTGGTCTGGGGAAGGAGACAACTCTCAAGAAGAGATGGAGCATACAAGGACTTGACCCTATAACGAGACATCCTCTAGGGGGTTCACTGACACGGAAACTTCTCTGTGAGTCATGCCATCTTGATGACTCCTTGAATCTGGCCATGTCAGAGCTCCCAGCCCCTGTGCGGACCTTAATCACCCCCTCCTTCCAGACCTGTGAATCTGATGTTGGCAGAGGCAAGGGGCTGACTGACAGGTCTGGGTGCCCTACCCAGCTACGCCCTGCTGGGCCCAGTCTGGTGGACCTCCTTACTGCATGCATCTCCCCCAGCCTGGAGGCCTCTTGAAGGGGAGGAGCCCTCTCTCGGGGATCTTGATTTGCACTGGTTGTTCACTTGGTTTCTCATGGGGGATGGAGTGGGGACTGGGCCTCCACTGCGTTTCTTATTCATTGGAGGATCCAGGAATGTTCAGGTGGGGAGGTCCCTAATGGTCATGGTGGTCAGCCTCTGAGCATTTTGTAGATGAGGAACTGAGGCCCACAGAGGAGAATGCTCTTCCCAGGGCCACAGAAAAGTGGGTGTGAGTTTCACCAGATGTCAGTTCTCTCGATGCCTCCAGCATGGACTGAGTCGGCCGTCAGGTGGGTGGGTAGGAGGCTGAAGGTAGGTGTGAATTCTCATCTAACATTTCCTTGTCCCCTGGGAGCCTTTGCCTGAACTTCCACCCCGTGTGGCCCGGAAACCAAGGGCCGGGGGGTCAGTGGAGCGACGAGTACGGTAAGGCCTCCACCCAAGGGGTCATGCAGCCGAAGAGCAGCAAGGTCACACTATGTGCGCCACAGCCATTCCCAAGTCTCGGGAGGTGGAAGCCAAGCAGCCTCAGCTGCTGCAGGGAACGTCGTGTTCAGTCTACTTGGGACCCAGGCTGGAGGGAGCACCTCTGGTGGACTTGAGGGGACATAGCACAAAGCCACTTACGGTGTGGGTTTTCTGGGACATAGTAGCTAATGGGGAAAAGAGATGAGCATACTCTGAGCGTCTGCTGCGTGGGGGAGCATCTGGGAAACATTGTCTAATGACAGCCCACGTAATTCAACCTGCCTGTTTTAGAGGCTAGAGGCCAGGTGCAGAGAGGGGAAGTAACTGGCCTGAAGCCACACAGCGGATGGAAGAGGAAGATTTTAACCCAGGCGGGCTGACTTCAGGGCTCAGGTGAAGCCGTCTCAAGCTGACTGGGGCCTTCCCGGGGCTAGAGCCCAGAACTGACAGGGACACTAGCGTGGCTGGTCCCGGATCCCAGGGCCCCCAGGACTTGGCCTCCTGCCCTCCTTCATGCAGTGCCATGGGTGCAATAGAAGCTCAGAACCTTCCACACACACATCTGGCCACCTCGCTCACCTGCCTGAACACCTGGTGCCCTGAGAAGGGAAGGGAAGCTCCTTCAGTTGGCCAGCACAGTGCCCCCCGCCGCCCCGTGGACTCTTGTGGCTCCGGGGCTCCGACCCTGTGCACCCAGGACGTGCAACTCCCTCCCTCGGACAGTCCCACCACTTCCCACCTCACCAGGTAGCTCCCAATTCCCATGTCACTGGGTGTCCTTCCAGGCGCCTGGGGGGCAGGGGAGAGCACTTTCCTCTGAGCCCCAGGCCCGCATTCACCTTGGCAAGCACAGTCTCATCCAGTTTGGATCTGATGGCGAGTCGGAAGGTGGTGGGCCTGATGGGGGAGAGGGGGGTGCTTGTGACCAGGAGGGGAGGGCGTGTGGCAGGCAGGCGAGGAGGTACACATGCCACTCGCGCCTGGTACGTGGTGACCCTATACTGTCACTGCAGATGTCTGGCCCGAGGCCTGCGGGCACACGTTGGGCTCACTCCCCTCTCCTGTTCCCTTCCTTCTTCTCACATGGGAGGAATTCGAAGGCCACTCTGCTTGGTCTATCAGAAAGAAAGTAATTTTTTAAAATGAGCGAGTATTTACCCAAACGGGCTCCTATGGCTCAGTAGCTACCCAGGCGGAGGACACGGACACCGACTGCCAGTGGTTATAACCCGCACTGCGTCGTCCTCACACGCTTGTCAGAGGCAAACAGAGGACGGGTGGTGTGAGGGGATCCTGACCCCCTGAAGCCCCCCCACCCCGTGGGCGCCCTAGGAGTGTTCTCACCAGCTCATTTGTTAGCATTTGTTGGGCCCTTCCGCTGTATCAGAGCCCATCCTTGGTGAAGGGGTTCCGGAATCGACCAAGACCAGGCCCCTTGCTCTCGAAGAGCCCAGGGTCTGTTAGGAATGAGGGGCCTGGACATCTCTAAGTCAGAGAATGACCACAGGACTCGAAGGGTCCAGAAAAACACGTGGGCGACACTGCTGTGGACAGCCCTGGAGTTTCCAGGCCCCCGTCAGACCCGGTGAAAGGACTTCCTGCTGCCGCGGGAAAGGCACGAGGGAGGCCCTCGAGGTGACAGGACTGTCAGCCGTGTTGTCTAGTGCCGGGAGCTGCTCACTCCCCACGTGTGGGTTTTCTGTGCCCTGTGGGCGAGTCCCGAGCGAGTCTGAGGCCTGAGATGCGTCCCCCCCCCCCCCCCGTTTCAGCAGAGAAGGAGGCCTGAGAGGCTTCTTTCTTAGGCCCACAAGGCCTCTGGAGGGGCCCTAGGGCTCAGCAGAAGACTCAGAACTGGGGTGTCTGCCAGCAGGTGCTGAGGGAGGCGGGAGGGGACCCAGGACCCCCAGGCCGTGTTGGCTCCTCGTGAGGCGGAAGCCTGTCCAGAAGTCCGGGCCTGAGGGCTCTCGGTGCGGGACGGCTCTGGCCTGTGACGCGGATCGTCCAGCCTGTAGGCCGGGCGGGGTGGGGGTCATCCCGGGCCACCCAGCTGCTCCATCTGAGGGTGTGGGAACCTCAGCAAGACCAGCTCAAGGTGCACAGAGCCGTTGCAGAAGCGTTCCCGTTGCAGAAGCGCTTACAGACTGTTCTAGGCTCTCGCTGGTTCTGGGACGTGGGCGACCCGGGCCTCTCTGGCTGGTGGTGCCGTTCACAGGATACAGCATTGGGAACAGGCCTCCACGCACTGGTTCACGGTCAGCCAGTGGCTGCGGGTGGTGCCCAGGCTCAGGCCCGGGGAGCTCAGGGTGGTCCTCGGCCCTACTCCACGGAGCTGAACCCACTCCTGGTCCCAGGGTTGCCTCTTGTCTGGCCCCCCTGGTCTGGTTCGAGGCTCTGGATGGGTCACCTCTCGATCAGGACCCAGGGCCGGGAGTGAGGTGTGTGGTCCTTTCCCCTTTTGTTAGGCCTCTGTTTTCCCAAATGAACAATGGAAATGTTGGGTAAGACCAGTGGTTTCCAAACTTTCTCAAGGACCCCTTGTCAAGTGAAAGCTTCTGTGAAGCCCAGTATATAATGTAGATGAAAATAAAGCTGCTGTGAATAAGGTGGAGGGTTGGGGACCCGGACTTCTGTCCAGGTGGCTTTCCTTCGCCCATAGCCCACGGTGGCCCCTGAATTCTCGGGAGACTTCCAGGGCTCTAACAAATGCACTTCGAAGGTCACTAGGCTAGGAGGTCATGACAGGTCCTCTGCTCTGAGGTCCTGGGGTTTTGTAACTTCCTGAAGTCTGGCCCTCAGGGACCCAGTCCTCTCCTGAGTCGCCGAGGGAAGGTGGTGTGGAGTGGGCCACAGACTGGGCCAGCTAGCTGGGGACACTGCCACACAGTCTCCAGGGGAAAGCCATTTTCTGAGGCCCTCTGGCCAAAGGCCTGCTACCAGTCATAGCAGAGAGACAGGCGCTCTGTCCCCCAGAGCCACAGCCACCACCTAGGGAAGCTTGGGGCCAGTGGTCTGGCCTGTCCCCATTTTACCTGAAGCCCCTTCCTGCAGAGGCAAGGGCAGATGTCAGGGGTTAATTAGGGTCAGACTCCCCTTGCCCCTCACCTGAAGCTATACAGCTTGGCGGATCCAGGGTCCTGCCTGGCTTGCATGAAGACACCAGTCTTCTGGTTCTAGATTCCCTGGTCTGTCCCCAGCGTCCCCTCCGCTAGGTCTTCCCAGAAGTCTTGTCTCTTTCCCCCTCACTCATCTCCATTTCCTTCCAACCCTCCATCCAGAACCTTCTCCCCTCACCTAGTCACCAAGATAAGAACTCCTTCCTGTCCAAGTGCCCGCTTGCCTGACCGGGGCACCCCGACCTCCTCAAACCAGCAAACTAATGCGCTGAGACTCGAAGGCTGCCAGACCGTGACTCCATGGGCGCTGGGCTGGGTTCTCTGTCCCCACAGGGAAAGACAGGCTGGAACCTGCTGGTTTCCATGTCCTTGGCGATGGCAGTTTGAATGTTGCTCAGAGACCAGATTCCCCAGCCATGCAACCAACTTGGGTTCTTGCTATTGCCCTCGTGGGGAGACTTGTTCCCATCTGCTGGGTGGAAGGGATGTCTGTGTCCTTGAGCCCCAGACACTGGCCAGACAGCCTCCCATCATTCTGGCCCGTGGTCAGCCCAACCACAGTACCTCCGGAGCCCTTCTCAGGCCAGCCCCACCAGCTGACCAAGCAATTCTCTGGGAACACTTTGGGTGGGAAAAGTCACTTTATTAAACGGCCTCTGTTACAAGCCCCCCATTTCTGGACCTGCCAGATTGGCTTTGGGTAGAAGTTTCTGGTTGTCTTTCCTTCCACTTTCTCTCTCTTTGTCCACGGCTTCCTGAGATTCAGTGTCCTCAGTGGCATCTGGGGAAGAGCTGGTGGCCGTGGGGCGCTGGTCCAACTCAGGGCGGGCTGGCGGCTGGCAGAGGGCCAGGGAGTGGCCAGCCCCACAGCCCACGAGGAGTCCCCGTGACGACCGCAGAGCCTCTACGGGCTTCGGGGCCCAGACGTTGGCCTTGGAGCCATCCCCACACATGCCGTGCTCGTTCCAGCCCCAAGAGTAACACGTCCCTCCTGTGCAAGAGAAAGAAGACTGTTCTAGAAGAGGTTTTGAGAACAGCGCTGCAACACTCACCCTGGGAGCCCGGGGGACCATAAACCCCGTTTACGGGTGAAGACACCGAAGCTCAACCATGCTTGGTGGCGAGCTCACTACCCCTGCTGCCACCCTGCCCCCCACAGCCTTTTCAGGGTCTCCCTCTCCCGCCAACCCCCCTGACCTTCCTCCTCGGCCCCTCCCTCACTCTAACCTCCTCTACCAGCAGCCCCCACCCACCATCGTCCAAGGCCCGCCAACTCTGCCTCGAAATACTTCAAATCCCTCCCGGTCTCTCCATCTCCGCCATCCCCTGATCCCAGCACCACTCTCCTACTCGGTGAGCCATGCCGATAGCCAACGGGCCAACGGGCTGCTCACCACCCACCCCAACCTTCAAGGATCGAGGAACGTCCCGGTCACCTCTGACAACCCAGGTCTGTCGCATGGCTCCCCCGCTCAAAAGCCTTCAGTGCTTCCCACATCCTCATAAAGGCCTTTCCGCAGCCTGAGAGGCCCTGAGTGAGCTCTGGCTCCTGACTGCCTTCCTGGCCTCCCCTTACCCAACTCCTCTCCACCCCACTGCATTCCAGAACCCCTGCCTTCTTTGGCTTCCTTACATACGCCTTGCAGGGCCTTCTCTTCTCTCCAGGCCCTCTCTGTACTGGGCCTCCCAATCCAGCTCAGGTGCTTCTTATCACCCTTGGACTTTTCTCTCACGGGAATGTCGTGGTGGGCGTACTGTTCCCTCTCACTAGACTATCTGCTCTACAGGGGTGGGAAGGACCGTGTATGTTCCGTTCACTGCTGTATCCCTAGCCCAGTACACAGCTGGTGCTCAATAAAGGCTCACTAATGGGGGAAAGATAGAATGGACTCAGTCACAGAGCCAGGGAGTCTCCAGGCCAGCATTTGAGCGCAGATTTCTCTGACAGCCTGTGATGCCCACGCCCCATCACAGCACCCTCTTTCTAGCTTTTAGACCCTTTCCTAGGGCCAAATTCACTCATGTTTTTCTGCAGTCATTGAAAAATTTTCCTGTCCAGTTTATTAAACGAATGCTAATCTTCATGACAAAAAATGGAAAATATGGATGGGTGTAAAGAAAAAGCAGACTTTGAGTCTTGCCATTAGGATGAATATTTTAGATAATCTCTTTAGAGATCTTTAATTGGTGAAATTTGTAAATACTTGTGTATGTTTTGTCCTGCTTTTGTCCCTTACTATTGTAACACAAATATTTATCCACAGAACTGTAAATTATTCAAAAAGTAAGTTAAAAATAACTTGTTTGAAATCTTGAAGTAGTTCAACCCGCAGAAAGGTACAAAAAATAATTTAACAGACAAGACACATTACCCCAGCCAGATCCAGAACATTAGTCATCATTTTACTGTATCTGCTTCAACCCTTCCCTTAAAAAGAAAAGAAAAAAAAAAAAGATCGATCATAAAAATACAGACTAAGCCCTGCCTCCCATTCTTGCCCTCCAGCCACTTCTTCTCCCGGGAAAGAGCCACTGTTTTGAAGCTGGTGTTCATTACTGCCAGGCTGGTTTTATACTTTCTACCTATGTGTCCTTAAATACTGTGTAATGTTTTTAGTTTGTTTTAAAGATTTACATAAATAGCATCACTGAGATATCTTTTTTTATACTTGTTCTTTACACTCAGCTTTGCTTTTGGAAATTTATCTGAGCTGAGAGTTACAGGTCTAGTTCGTTTATTTTAACGGCGCGTAGTATCCTGGGATGGAGAAATCAGATTTTTACTTATCCGCCTCCCTCCCGATGGACAGCTCTCTCGTGGTAATAACTGCCGCTATTTTATTATGCAATATAATATATGATTACGCAATATATGATGTGTAAGAATATTATACAATGATAGTAATATTGCTGCTATTGTAAGCAGCACTACCATGAACACTCTTGAGCACGTCTCCTTGTACAAAGCGGTGCTTGTGAAGGGTGGGTCCCTACAAGTGTGAGGCTGTGGAGTCTCCTGTTGGGATTTTCGGTATGGCCTAATTACTGTCCTCCCCTCCAGCCCCAACAGCTGATCCGTACGATGAATGAATCTGCGTTTCCCTGACTGCTAGTGAGAGGGACTGTCCCGAGTCACCTCTTATGAACTGCCTCTGTACGTTCTTTGCCTGTTTTCCTCTTTGGTTGGTTGCCTTTTTCTCGCCGATCTGTACGTTTTCTTTGTGTATTCTTTTATTTACACAATTCTTCACTGTGCTCTGCCTTTTAAGTGTCTTTTCCCAAAAGTCCATGGTTATGTCTCTCCGCTTTGCTTATGGTATCTTTTGTTAAACACATTTCTTTCAGATGATTGTCTAAATTGTCCATTGCGGAGACTCAACAGTTTCCTTAACCTGTATCCTATTATCAGATACATAGGTTGTTTCTAATTTTTCATTATTTGGAATAATATCCCTGAGAACATCGTTGCACGTCAATCTTTGGCCATCTAATTGCTTTCTCAAACTAGATTCTTAGAACGGGAATTCCTCGTCAATGGGCATGGACGTTTTTGAGATTCCTGAGTACTGCTCTGAGTGCTTCCACAGTATTTTCTCAGAAAGGCCACCTGAATACAACTACAGCAACCTGTGGAAGTCTCCTTTTTACTCCAGGATTGCTGGTATTTATTGCTTATGCTACCGTTTAGAAATCTTCTCTAGTTTGAAGACAGGAAAGATATATCACTGTTTTTATTGGTCTTTCACTGCCATCAAAACTGAAAAATAATTCTTATGTTTCTCAAATATTTGTATTTCCTCTTTTGTATACCGTCTGCTTCACATCTTTTTCCTGTTTAGTACAGAAAGAAGGCTTTAAGTGTCAGACCCAAGAGACAGGTGGTCGGGGTTCAAATCCCAGCTCCTTTATTTATTAGCTGAGTCACGCTGGGCAAGTTACTTAGCATTTCTGTGCCTCATGTCCTTCATCTGTTAATTGGGGACAACAGCACTGACACCATAAAGTTGTTTACAGCCATTAAATGAGTAAGTATGTATAAAATACTTAGAATGGTGCCCGGCACGTAGTATTATATAAATACTTGTTCTTATTCTCTGTTAAGAGCCTTCTTGTTTTAAAGATTTTTATTTTAGGAATATTAATTCCTAAAATATTAAATTCTTTCTCTGCCATAGCTGGCATAAGTGTTTTTTTCTCGGTCTGACTTAAAATTTTGTTTTGGGTCTTCTGATAGAAAACATAAGCCTTATGGTTCTTTGTAGTAAAATACATTGATCTTTTATACTTTCTTCCACTGCTTCTGAGAATTGAAAACCCATCCTTATCCGGATCAGGAAATACTCTTTTTCGATTTTTCGATGGTTTTATTTATTTTTTAAAATCTCTCCATTTCATTCTTTATCCACTGAAAATCTGTTTCACAGACCACTTTTTCACAGGGAGAGGCTGGCTGGCCCGGGATTACCCTTCCTTTTCCTTGTCCCTAGTAGGAAGGCAGTCACCGGCCAAAAGCTTGGGTTTGGGGAAACACAGATGTCCCCCTGTTTGGCCCATGAGCGAGGAAGTGCACGCAGAGAGGACAGGCCCCAGGCTGCGGCTCCGACAGTCACAGGCCCCGTCGGCCAGGTGGGTGCGAGGCCCGGTGCGGGGGGCGGACGCGGCTCGGGACCTGCGGGCCCGGCCCGGCACCTGGCGTGGGCTTGGTGCCCAGCCCTGGTGAGCAGCACCAGCTGACGGTCAGCGGGAGCGGCGGTGGGAGGAAGGCAGCGCTGGGCGGCCGGCAGGACGCGGCACGACGGGCAGCTGGCAGGGCCCTCTCCTCCGCCCAAGGAAGCGCGCTCCGAGGGGCCGGGGAGCCAGAGGCCTCGAGCCAGGCCTCTCATGCCCACTGGGTCGAGAAGCCTGGCAAGGGGCCGGAGATGTCCTCCCCCAATACTTCCCAAGAAGCCTACTGGAAGTTGGGCGTTTTAGGTTATCTCGTTTAACTCCAGCAGCCCTGTGAGGCCATGCTACATAGATGATCCTCATTTCATAGATGATGACGCAGAGGTGCCAGGAGGCAGGCGGTGTGGCTCCAGAATCCGTACCAGCTCTGCATATTACATACCAGGGCTTGCCAAATTTATTCTAAAAAGGCAGATAGTAAATATTTGAGGTTTGAGAGCCTCATTTGGTTTCCGTTGCATATTCTTCTTCTCTATCATAACCCTTTCGAAACCATTCCTAGCTCGCGAGGCCAAGCACAACAGGCCGCAGGCCGGCTTTGGCCTGCGGGTCGGACCTTGCTGGCCCCTGGCGGACATGTGTCAACATACGCTGTTCACCGCGGACTGGGCAGTGCTGTCCTGGGTCCCACACTCCCAAACATCTGTGTGACAATGGCACTCCTGTCCCCGTCTGCATCGCTGGGTTGCTGGGGGGAGCACGACATGAGTTGACATATACAAAGACCCAGCACAGTGCCTGACACTTGGTGACAGCTCCTGCCCACGTATGAGGCACACCACGGAGAGAGGGGGGAACGGCGAGGAAGGCCAGGCCAGTGTCAAAGCAGATGGGAAGGCCCAGGCTGGAATGACAAGAAGCTGAGGGTTTTGAACACTTTAAACACACTTCCTATAGGAAGAAACCAGGCTGCTGAACTTTGAAAATGAAGGACTGGCCCCTGAACGGACGACACCTTGAAGTACTGAGCCCCTCCAGCAGTTTAGAATGGGTTCCCTTTATCCCCCTCCAGCCTCACTTAGGGCCGCCTTTTCAGAGGCACCGTGAGGATGGGAAGACCCTCTGGATTCCGCACGCTGCTGCTGTGCAGGCTATTCTCACGAAGAGGTGAGAAGAAGGGGGGTAGCCTACAGTAGGCCTCTCCCTAGGCTAACCGGAATATGGAATGCCCAGTTTTCAAAACAGGTAGGTTGCAGATGATTCCTGGCCTTACGGAGGGCTCTCTGCAGCACGCCTGGCGCTCACCAGGTCCTTGGGGAAGTAAAA